AGAAACTACAGATCAATGTGTTGGGGAAGGTGTGATAGCAAGAATGGCCTGTGGCTGTGGTGACAGGAGTGTGAAGTGACCAGGAAGCAGAGAGAAGACAGCTCTAAGTCCTCAAGCCTGCCCTCTTTCTTCCCCTCCCCACTTCCCCCACCACACAGTAAAGGACCCACTCTAGGGAGGCTCAGCCTCCTAACTTGTAGGGCATGGGCTGGAGACCAAGTATTCAAACACAAGCTTTTGAGAACAAACTACAAGAGTCACCTAGGTAAATATCTTGAGTCTGGAGTCTTCCTATTTTCTCTGTACTTTTGTTTACTTCAGGCATTCTAGCAAAACTGGAGGCAACTTTTTGAGCAGTTATGGGCACTCAGAAAAACTGGTATACAGGCAAATAAAATCTTCCCCCAAAGTGACTTCACCAGTTTGCTCTGGCCAGCACTAGCAGAGTTCCTGTGGCTTCACACCCTGACCAGCATTTGGTAGTGTCAGCGTCTGCATATTGGACAGCCCAATAGCTCCACAGCGGATGCTCATTACTGCCTTACTCTGCATCTGTGTTTAAAAATAAGGAAAGCATCTTCCCATTTTCTTCTTCTCCATCTCTACATCTTCCTTGGTGAGGTGACTGAAGTTTTCCCGACCCTTTGAAATCAGAGTCTGAGTTTACTGTCGTGTGCTATGGAATAATTCTTTTGTACATGAAAGATTTGTCACTCAGATTGGTTTAATAAAAAGCTGATTGGCCAGTAGCCAGGAAGAAAGTATAGGCGGGACAACCAAACTAAGGAGGTTGAAATGAAGAAGGGTGGAGTCAGACGAGTTGCCAATCAGAAGCAGAACAAGTCAGACACACCAAATGGGAGAGAAGTAAAAGCCATGTGGCAGAATACAGACTAATAGAAATGGATTGATTTAAGTTGGAGGAGTTAGTTAGTAATAAGCCTGAACTATAAGCCAAGTATTTATAATTAATATTAAGCCTCTGTGTCAGTTATTTGAGCACTAGTGGGCAGAGCAGAAGCTTCTGCCTATGAATGTCTTCAGCTCCTTGTACATTTTGCACAGCAGTGCTGTCTTCTATTGCCATTTTGGATCTTGTTCCTGGATTGCTTCCCCTCTCATTCTCTTGATGCTGTCTTTCAACAAGTAACTATTTTAGAAACCAATCATTTTTATTTAAAAAAAACATTGATTGACCAATGCAATAAGACTAGAAATAGACTCAGCATAGGAATATTAAAGTTTGTGTATGGGAAAACGGGCATCCTTGGCTTAGGGCAGGATTGTTTATTACAACTGGTATCATTGGGTCAGTGAGAAGACTCGGTGTGTAAAAGCACTTGCCCCACATGCCTGATGTCCTGAGTTGCATCCCCCCCCCGCCAAACAATAAAAGCGAAAGGAGAGAATTGATCCCACATCTACACTGTGTGTGCACGTGCCCATGAACACTCTCTCTCTCTCTCTCTCTCTCTCTCTCTCTCTCTCTCTCACACACACACACACACACACACACAAGAGAGAGTGAGGGTTAAAAGAACAAACGGTTTCATTATTTCTTCATTTTGAAGACAACTGTTAGTTTTACATATCATATCATATCATATCATCATATCATATCATATACCAAGTTAAATTACAATACATCTCAGGGAAGAAGGATCTGGATATAAAAAGAATTATTAGAAGAAAATGAAAGACTATGTGGGCAAGGCATTTTGTTTACTTTTATGGGAAGGTTAAATTATTTTTAGATTACTTTTAATGTTTATGGGTCTTTTGCTTGCATGCAATACCCATAGAGGCCTCTGGAATTGGAGCTAAAGACTATTGTGAGCCATGGTGTAGGTGCTGGGAACCCAAGCCCTGGTCCTCTGCCATGAACAGCAAGCATTCTTCACTGCAAAACTGTCTCTCCAGCACTTAAAAGGTTAAATTTTGTCTGTCAAATTTTATTTAAAAATTTTCCAGGTTTATTGAAGTTTAATTGACAAAAGTGATGTACATTTTCAGTGTGCAATGTGGTGTTTCTGAAGTAATTGCCATAACTAAACAAATTATCATCTGTCACCACAGTTGGAAAGAAGGGAAACTTGAACTTATATGGCCTAGAGCATCCGAGGCAGTGGTGATGCACACCTTTAATTCCAACATTTAGGAGGCAGAGACAGGCAGATCTCTGTGAGTTCAAGGCCAACCTGATCTACAGAGTGAGTTCCAGTACAGCCAGAGCTACACAGAAAAACCCTGTCTCAAAAAATAAAAACAAACAAATAAATCTCTCTCAGAGAAACTGTAGCCCATAAGTCAAAGGAAATTGTTCTCAGATTTACCATCCAAATTCATATCACCTGCCTACTAAAAACACGAAAGATGAACATGTACCTTAAAACTGTTCAGGGACTAGTAAGAAGGTAGGTTTCTGACAGAGACAAAAGCTCTTTCTTATTGAATGAAAATGCCTGCTTTCTGGCTTCACCCATTTCCCACAAATAATTTTTCAGGGATTATGAGTGGCTCACCATCAAATGCCACTGAGAGCACAAGAAAGGGAGACACTGTGAGCAAGAAACAGCAGACATGCTCACATGAAATAACCAGACATGGAAAGACTTCATGAGTCAGAGTTAGCACTGAAAACAACTATACTGCATATGCTATTTTTAAAGTTTTATTAAAGAGCCTAAAGTCAAGAAACAGGTTTTTTGTTTGTTTGTTTGTTTGTTTTTTGTCACTGTGCTGGGAAGTCCCGGGTGCAGAGATTAGCAGACAGCTTCCAGGGCTAGCATACTGTCACAACAAGGATGCAGGTGTGTAAGGGGGAAGCCTATTGGGCAGTCTTCAGAAGAGTATGCCATGTGAGGTGTAGGAACACTGGGGAACATGCTGACTGGCAAGAGGATTTTGTTTTTCTAGGTATTTGTGTGATCAACTTCAGTAGCAGTTAACACTGAAGACTCAGAAGTGGGAAGGACCCTTATGTCACCTTGTCTCCACTCTCAGTGAAACTCCAGAGAGACATGGCCAGTTGAAAAAGATTGGATTTATTCTGCACACACAGATCCAAGTTCCATGTCCAACCTTTTTATTGCTGTGCAGCAAAGTCCTCTGAGCTAAAACATTCAGTCTTTGAGGAAAGTTAAGCAAGATGCATAGTGTCCTAAAGGGAAGCTCACTAAGACTTGGGAAGTAAATTCAGAATCCTCAAGAAGTTCCTGAAACTGACCAGATACACTTGTTCCCTCCCCTCCTCACAAGGTTATATAAGCAACAAGGAGTGTTGCAAGACACTTGCAGACCAGACAAGTTGCCTAGAAGAGAGACTCTTGGACTTGCTGAGCTACAGGTCAGTCATAAAGTAAGCTGCAGAGTTTTAGCTTCCTGGGCTGGGCTCTCTACGAAGATTCCTTTGATTCATTACTGATCCTGTCAACCTGTAAAAATAACCCCAGTAAACAACTGGTTCATCAAACTGGATTTCGATGATATGGCCATTTGGGTCTGCTATTGATTCCCTATCTGGGGTGAGTAGATGTTTGTTCATCTCTCCCTAGAGAGCTGTCCTTAAAAATCCATACCCTTGAAAACACCTATGAACTCTGCAGCCTCCTTTAAGAGAAATGGCTAATCTACTGGTTTACTGAAACAAAATTAAGTCTAATGATTGACAAATTATTAACCATAATAAATGATGACCAATAAAAATCCTCCATTCAGGTTAAAATATTTACAGTTGAAAAGTGAATAGAAATGGAAACCCAGGAACATTTTAAGCGGAAAGGGCAGAGGGGCTCCCAGTGAGTATAAACAGCCCGCATCCCTGCATTTTCTTTGGTGGTGATCACAGTCGAATACATTGCCTAGATGTCTTTGCTTGAGCTTCGGGAACAGCTTTTAACATAGGCACTTAAATGATCAGTTCTTCCAGGAAATCTTCGACAGGATGTTACTCTTTTCAATTCCCCACAAACAGCATCTTTCATCTCATTGTGTTTGTTTGTTTATTTACTGTATCTAAATACTCATTGTATTTGTTTATTGTTGCTAAGAGTTTGACAAAAGTGACTGTTTTGATTCTGATGCTATTAACAGACTAACAAAACAAAACCAAAAACATGTCAAGAACTGCAGACCAGGATTTAAGGAGACTGTGGGCAATAGGTAACACCCTCAAAAACAGGGTTTTTGCAGGCAAAAGCCTCTGGGACCACCTTTTGGATCACAATGATGTTGGCAGGAGCATCTTGGTCCTTTGACATTAAACACATCATTCCGTAAGCAGTCTCAGCCTTGGGCTTGATGAGTAGGGCTGTGGTGGAGGGAGAAGGGGTCCGGGAAACCAGCTTGAACTTGGGAAACCCTCCTTTCTGCAAAGTGGGGCCTTGGTTCCTGGGACTTCCAGATCTGGAAAATAGTCTGTTCCTCTGGAGATGTCGTGCCAGGGGACTGTGGGCCAGTTGTCTAGAGTTGCTGCCTGGCTTCAGTTCAGTTTGTGATGTTGCCCTGCTCAGGATCAATGGCGCTGACCAGCTCCGTTTGAGATGCTGCCGTGCTCAGCTCAGGTTCAGGGTGATAATAGGTTGAAGCTTAGCTTGGGGATCTGGGCTTCAGGTTCGGGTGCTACTTGACTGGGTTCAAGATACTGCTCATCTCAGGCTCGGTTAGGGGTACTGCCCCGTCCAAGTTCGGGGTCTTAATTGTCTCAGGCACGGTTCAGCGTGCTGTTCCGTTCTAGCTCGGGCTTTGGGTGTTAACTACGCTGGATCTTGGGATACTTCCTAGCGCGGCTCAGTCCGGGGCGCTGCCCAGCTCTGCTGGGTTCTGGCGGGGTGTTCAGGGCGGCGGAGGAAGCGCGGGCACTGCCCGGGCGCTGCCTGGGCGCATTGAGGAAGTTCCCTGGAGGAAGAAGCGGCGAGCCGGGCGCCGGGGAGAACCGGGGAGCCGCGTGCACCAAGCGGGAGGAGGAACAGGAGGAGCAACAGGAGTGGGGAGGAGTATAAGGGGTTGGAGGACGAGGCCACCTGCCCAGGTAGAAGCCACTCCGCCCCGCCGCGCTTTGGGGTAGGGCCTCTGCCTTCCCTAGGCGACAGACCTTGGCTAGCCCAGCCTGGACCGCGGCTCCACTCCTGTCGCTTCTGCTGAGCACGGACCCACCCGGCCCCCGCGCGCGGCACCGGACTCTAGAGCGCGCGTGCGCGCGCTCCCGTTGGCTCAGGGAGCGCGACTGGCAGCGGGGCCGAGCCGGGAGCTCCGCCTCTTGGCTGCGCACTTCGTCTGGCAACTCGGCAAACCCCGGGACTGACACCGTGCGCGCCCCCGAAGCGATGCAGAGTCCCAGAGCCTCTGAAATGCGGTAGGTGAGGGCAAGAGCAGTTTAACCAAACTCTGAACCCCCACCCAAACCAACAAGCTCGCTCCGCTTGACGAACTTCCTTTGTGAAGTCGCCTCTCCAAATCCTTGGAAACTCTTTTTTAGGCACTAAAGTGTACATTTGAATGTGTATCAATAAGGCTCCCAAAACTTAACCTCACCTAAAAGTCATTGAAAAGAGACTCACTTCTTTCAAAGTCCGAGTAGTAGAAAGAATTGGGAAGGTCGGTCAGCTTCCCTTTTTCTTGAGAAGAGTTTTTTGAGTTTTGCCTGCCTGACCAAAATTGTATTCAAACTTAAGCAAAATTCTCGACGATGGGTATTTTTCTTTTCCTTGGTGTCTTCTCTCTCTCTCTCTCTCTCTCTCTCTCTCTCTCTCTCTCTCTCTCTCTCTCTGTATCTTGTGACAAATATATATATGTAAAAAATATTTAAATACTTACAAGATATCAGGTGTTTTAAGTGACAATTTTTTTTCACTCGGATTATTTCACCAAGTCATTTTGTTCTATCCAAATGAATAATTTTGTTTTTAATAGACTTAGGAAAATTTTACAGTCAAACAGAAATTTATTTGTATTCTGTATTTGAAATGCTTAAATATGTCAGATTAAAAAATTTAAAAGTCTTAAAAACGAACTTTTTTGAAAAATATTTTAAGTTAGGATAGTAAATGGGGAATATATTTTTGAAATATATTTCACATCTGGAAGGTGAAATTGATAGAAAATTTTATTTTGTTGCTAGGCTTGCATGAGACAGTTCTTTGGTCCTTTTAGGGCCATATTTAATATTCTACATGTAGGCATTATCCCTCTGGTTTGGTTTTGATTTTCAAGCAAAGACTTCTTAGTAGAACTTACCCAGCAAACTGTCCCTCATCATTCAAGGTGTGTTTGGGATTTAGGAGTTTTCAAAACTTAAGGTTTACATTTAGAATTCCGAAGGGTGTTTGTATACAGAAAGACCGCTGCTTGTGACCACTCTGGCACTGTTGGGCAGTGCTGTATTATCCCAGGCGTCATTCTTTCTTCACACTCAGAAGTGTCTATATTCTGAGGGGAATAGATACCAACTATAAATAGCTTCTGTCAGTTTAGACCAGGTGGTGTCGTCGATGAGGTTCCTTAAAACTTAGAGCGAGGAAGGAAAAACAAGCCTTGTTTTTCATAGCGGGGGTGGGGGGTGGGGGCTCAAGGACTGGGGCCTTATTGGACTCCTTAAACTATCGCGTGCTTTTGAGAAGTTGAGTGCTTTTGCAGCGGTACATCTCACCCCTTCCAGTACCCAGTGGGCAGTTCCTCTCCGTCGGGGCGCGGGAAACAGTAAGGGTCCATTAGTCACCCAAGTAACAGGCGGTTCATCCTTTAGAGATAAAGTTTCAAAGAGACTTATACCCATCATCCTGTGACTTCGGGAGAGAGCAAAAGTCTCCCCAGGAAGGGGCGTGGTCATCCCCCACAGCTGCAGTTCTTGGAAGACAGATTTCCTTTTCCCACGATTATTGAACCTTTGTGTCTGTTCTCTTTGCCCAAGTTAGTGTATAGTCTCTCAGCTTTCGCTGTAGGGACCTGTTTCCAGCTACCCCAAATGCCCCTTTACTCTCGTCTGCAACCTTTAGCCATTTTCTTTGTTTTTGGATTGGTGTCGTGACAATTGGGTGGGGGAAAAACACTGATTGGTTTTTTTTTCTTTTTTATGTTAGAAGGCAGAGCCTAACAAAGATGCAATTCAATTGCTGCTTACCTCAGTTAGATAGGTATCGCCACAATCTTCACCCTTGTGCTTGAACACTAGGCAAAAGAGGTTTTCATACGGAAACGCTGCATAAAGACTAAAATAATAACTAGGTTGATTGGATTTTATGAAGATTTTCAAATTTTGATATATTTTAGGCACAATTTTCATTTGATTATAAATGAAAATATATAATTTTCATTTGATTATAAATTTGACAAAAAATGTTAGCTTGGATCTGTTTGGGGATTCTTTGTTTTGGCTTTAGTTTTTTTATACATATTTTCTTTTAAGAATCAATTACGGGAGAGAGGTGGTTCCTCAGGTAAGAACACTTCACTGCTTTTGCAGAGGACTGGGGTGGGTGCCTTTCCCAGCATCTATCTTGAATGAGGCTCACAACCATCTGTAACTCCAGCCCCTGGGGGGCTCCAGCGCCCCCTACTGGCCTCCACAGGCACTGCGTGGTTAGGCACAAATGTATACACACACACGCGCGCACACATACATATACACACACACACTTAAACAAACTTTTAGAAAAGAATCAATTATGTAGGCAGGTGTGGTGATACTTCTGTAATCATAACACTTGAGAGTCAAAGGCAGGAGGATCAAGAGTTCAAGGTCATCCTTGACTATATAGCAAGACTGAGACCAGCCTAGACTAAAGAAGACATTGTTTTAAAAAAGAAAACAGTTTACCATGAAGTAGCAAGGGTTGTAAGTTGGTCAACAGAATACTTGTCTAGTGTGCATGAAACCTCCAATATCAAATAGATCATATGTGATTATAATCCTAGCACTTGACAAGTGGAGAGAGGATCGAAAGTCCAAGTACATCCTTTAGTTTGTTCCCAGTTTGAATCCAGCCTGGGCTGCATGAGACCCTGTCTCAAAACAAAAATGAGTAAATAAAAATAAAACTCTGTAACTTTTGCTCTGTATCCTTTAGTATTCATTGACTGAATTTAAATATTAAATACCATGAAATATGGTTAAAACCAAAGCTGTGCAAAGAAAGCGTTTTTCATTTATGTTGCAATCAGTTTAATAGACCAAAGAGGCCCTCTTTTTGTCCTTCATTTCGTGGAAACTTGGGGTGCGTGTGGGAGTTAGGGGTGCTGTCCTGGCTGCTTGGGATGGGGAGAGGGGAGCTGCAAGGAGGGAAGAACAAAAGAACCCCCTCGTTCCCCCATATAGAGTCCTGACTCTGGAAGTTGTGGTGTGCCCCGCACTTCTGGGACAGCCTTCAGGCTTGGGTGGCAACACAGGTGTGGGGAAGATCGAGCCTGCTGGAAGAGGTCCACTAGGAGAGGGAGGACAGACGCCCGGGTTGGCAGATCTGGGTGCCAAGTGCAGAGAGAAGGGCTCAGTGCAGTTAGGGAAATCCATAATCTCAATATCAATGAATTTAGGTGGATTCAGCATGCCTATAGAAAGCGTTGAAATTCCCACCATGGCGCTTACTACCGCCTTTCTCTGTAGGTTTAGCTTCACCCATGGACCTTTGTTCTAGCTAGAGCAGCCTCATGTGAATGCACTTGACAGTTCCTGTGGCGTTGTCATGGGAATGTCTTAGTGTGACCCGGGTTAATGTTGTCTTTTTACTTCATTTTAATTTAACTGAAAAATTTCCCCCTTCAGACTTAGCATCCTGTCTTTCTGCCCCATAGTCCTGCTTCCAAGAAGCAGGCTTTTCATTTTGGAAGCTGTTCCTTTCCTCTTGCAAGGTACACCGACGAGTTTATTTTATGATTCAACTTCAGACAGTGTATCTGAGAATGAGGAGTGGGGAATCCAGACGCCCATACCTTCCGATGGCAATCTGTCAGTGGTTTGTGTCTAACGGTTTACAGCAAGTGTTTACTGATGCTGTTTACTGCCATTCATGCGTCCGTTTCTTGGTCATAGCATCTCCACTCTGAAGACCCAGCCAGAGTCCACTGTTCGCCCCCACTGTGTTCCCTGCCCAGTGCTCCTGTGTAGCCCTCAGGGTTGGCAGCCTCGCCAGCTACAAGTACTAGGACCCCTTGGGTAGTCTGTGTTTGAATATTTGCCTGTGGCCCCTGAGAAGGTCTGCGTGCTTGGGTTAAACCCTCAGAGTGGGTGTTGAAAGACAATTGTACCCTTGAGAAGTGGGTCCTAGCTGGGGTGGGGGTAATGTCCTCACAGGAAGATGAACACAGGTCTTCAGGGACCCCGTGTGAAACAGCTAGCCAGGCTACTGATTGTCTTTGGCTCCCGTCTCTACATAGAATCTCTTCCTCACCCATGACCCCACCCCCCCAGAATACCTTCTGCCATGTCATTCTGTGCCTCACAGGGCCATACCAGTGGTAGAACAGATGGGATCATCTGTCTTGGGCTCCCAAAAATGCGAGCTTGATAAACTTCTACCAAGTCCTGGGCTTCAGGTATTAGTTTCATAGCAACAGGAAGCAGCGCGGGCCTTTGTGCTGTGCCGTTGTGCCGTGCCATTTCCTCTCATTCTTCCCTTGTCCCCTCGGCTCTTCCTAGGGCAAAACTTTGTTTTGGCATTTTTTTTTTAAGTTTGCACAGAACCTAATACAATTTTCTTCTCAACTTATGACATAAAACTGAAACCTCGTTTGACACAAGTTTCCACATAGTCAAAAATATACCATGTTATCTCTCAGTTCCATTTTTTTTTCTTCTTCTTCTTTTTTTAACCCACTGGAGCTCTCTCCTGTCTTGCTCCAGGCTGACAGATGTTCTTCAGTCTGGCAGAACATATGTTAAGAGCTGAAGAGGTCCTTAAGGAGTTTGTTGACGAAATATATTTCTTGGTACTCACTGAATTCTGTTTTGCATCTTGGAGGCCTTTGTATAGCTCCTAAAAACATCCAGGTCAGTGAGTAGATACATGGTATTACCATAACCTGTTATCATAATTGCTGGGCACAATTCCCATAATCTTTTTATCTCTGTGGTTGCTTTTTTTTTATTTTCAGAAGAACTTCTATGGTTTCTTCCATCCGAATGTATTTTCAATCATGCTATGTGAGAGATTGATTTCACTTCCAGTGCAGCGGTTAGACATCTACATCCTAAATCAATGTATTCACCCATCACTGATGCTCTGTTATCTGAGAGAGAGAAATGGTCTCTGTGGAAAGCCCAGGCCTGGCCTTCCCATCAGTTCTCTTAACTGTGCTAAGGTGACCACTGTGGGCTGTGAACACCACCTTCAGAAAACTGTCTTTGAACCAATGCGGAAGACATGAGAAGGATGGAGTTTAGCAAGCAGAACTCATCTGAAGGACATGGGGAAATAGCCATTGTCATTATGCCTGCTTCCCTGAGTGTGTAAACCTGACATGGCTAGAAGCGAGTCTTTTTCAAGTTAGGAGAATAACAACAAAGAGAGGTTTTGTTGGAAGAATGGGCAGTGAGTGGACCAGGAAGGAAACTAATTTTGAATCAACGACATTTGTCACAACAGCTGGGCAAATTCTGGCCCCAAGCGAGGGCCAAAGCGTCCGGAGATTGAGGATGGCCCAAGGTCATGCAGACAAAGTTTTTACAGTTTGTGCAGTGCCGCCTGGACGCCGTCTCGGTCCCTGATGCTTGGGTCCATCTTGAGATGCTGAGAGGTCTGGGGTGTGGCTTTCTGCCCCGTTCTGCCTGGAGCCATGGAAGAGGAATGGGGTGACTGCTGTTTTAGAACGGCTCACGGGATAAGTAGCTCTTTCTTGAGGGCCAAGGAGTTTCAACTGATAGGAATTGGTGAGTATGCTGGGTATAATGGCTGTTTTTGTGTGTTAGTTGCAAAGACTAGGTGATCCCAAAAGTTCATTCCCCATTTGATGTGTGAGAGAGAGAAAGAGAGAGTCAGAGACAGAAGCAGAGACATAACAGTGGGGTAGGAATCAGGCAACCAGCTTCCCTCTGTCCACAGGTGTTTGTGTTCATAAACTCTGCCAATCTTGGAATTTTCAGGTGTTTGAGTGTTTGTGAATGTCAGTCTATTCTGAGCCGACTCACAAAAGATGAAAACGTATAAAATAACTCTCAGGGAGAGAAAGCGTGTACCCGCCTGCACCCACTTCCACACAAGTCCGTTGGAGCGGTTTCTATCTACGTGATTATTTTCTCTTAGTCCGTCTAGTACTTTGTGATCACACCGTTGGTTCTGTGCCTGATTCTGTGACCTGGCTTTTTTCTCATGAGAACACAAGCTGCCTTTCTTCTGGTTGAGAGCTTGGGCTATGGTTTCTGGGTGACTGTGGCTTGACAGCTGAGCCTTTCAGGCTGCAGCCAAGGGTGACCTGAAGGCAGCCCTTGTGTGAGCCATGTGCCGACTGTGTGTGCGGTCACTTGCTCGGCTCCAGATGTGTCTACCTGCACTGCTGCGCTGACCACAGAGAGCCCCAGGACATGTCACACACCCCTTCTGATGAGAACTCTGGGACGGTGGCTTTGATCAGCAGCTGTCCAATTCTAAATGGTGGTTTCCTAGGCCCTCTCAGGGCAACATAGTTGACAGAGGCACCCAGGATCCCGACTCCACCATTTCCTTCAGTTACTTAGGTTCATGTTATCTCATCTACACAGTGATGCTGGGCTCCCCACTCCCTGGAGCCCCTGTCCAGTCTCACAGCTGTGCTGCACAAATCTGAGCTGCTGGCCTCAGAAAATGAACCCCCTGCAAGCACTGATGGGAAAGAGTTGGAACCAAGGATAAAACACTGCTGGTCACCTGGAGACCGAGGAAAGGGTCTTTTTACAAGCAACATGGCTTTGCAAGGCCTTGCAGGAGGGTCATGAATACAGAGTGGACCAACTATTCAAACATCGGAGCCTCTGGGAGCCATTTTTATTCAAGCCATCACACCCATCTTCACACACACCTTATCCTTCTCTAGATTGCTCGTGACACCTGACACACACACGTGTGTGGATACATGGTACTGTCAGGGAACCAGGGCATGAAGGACAATGTGCACATATTCAGTACAGACAGAGTGGGTGTCTTTGACTACTCGGTCTGAGGCTGGGTCCATCTTCAGGAAGCTCTGCTGTGAGGGCTACATGGTAACTGAACCAACTCCACTGTTTAAGGTGAGAGGGTGAGGGCTTATTACAGTTCTCAGCGGCGGAATCCTTATTTGTAAGACATCAGCGCGGCAACCACTGGGACCAGTTCAGGTTTCCTTAGGACTGATAAGGAAAGGAAAGGCGTGCCACTGAGGGGACTATGTGAACACTTCTGCCTGTGGATCAAAATGTAAGGTCAGCTGCTGCTCCAGTACCCTGCCTGCCTGCCGCCATGTTCCCCACCGCCACGATCACAGACTCTAACCTTCTGGCACTGAAGGCTCCAATCATTGTCCTCTTTTCTAAGTTGCCTTGGCCACGGTGTCTCTTTGCAGCGATAGAAGAGTAACCAAGACAACACGCATGTTCTGCACACTGCTAAGGACTCAAGCAGCTGCAGAGCTGGGTACGATGCGAGGTGGGGAGTGACTGTGAGCCAGGCCTTTGCAGATACTACGCAGGACTTAGCTCCTGAAATATCATTTTTTAAATAGGGTTTTTATTTATACCTTGAGAATTTCAGACTTGTCTATATAATATATTCTGATTGTATTCATCCATTATTTCCCCGACTCAACAAGCCCCTCCCACCTCCGTCTCCTCTTCCTCCTTCCCCTTCACCTCCTCACTACCCTCCTCTCCTCCATTTCCTACTCCTCTTCCTCTAGTAACCCACTGAGACCCGTCAGGGTTGCCAGTTCACACAAGGATGCAAAGCTGTGCACCAGAGCATGGGCAGCCTGAGGAAAAGGTTCCATCCCTCAGTTACCATCACCTGCCAGTGACTTCTCAGCTAGGCACGGGCCTTCACTATCCCTCCATCACTGCTGAAAAGTTGAATGACTTGGTCCTGTGCGGGTTCCGCAGGTACCCACATCTGATGGGAGTTCTTGCATGCGATCGCCATGGCATGTCCAGAAGACCGCGTTTCACAGCGTTTCTGCCTGTCCTCCTGCTCTATGTTCTTTCCCTCCTCCCTCCTTGGTGTTCCCTGGCCCTTGGGACAGGGTACAATGATGACATAAAGGGCCCATTAGAGCTGAACACTCACAAAGCTTAATTTTCTTGTTTTGTTTATGAGGATTTGGAGTTTGGGAGATTCTTGGTATTTTGTTCAGTTCTCTGCAGCTTTAAAAGAATAATCAAGGTCTGGATTGGAACTCATGATAGAGCACATGCCTAGAATGTGTGAGGCCTGGGTTTTTAATCCCTGGTATTACACACGTGCCACATGCACACCCATACACACACACACACACACAGAGGCATCTCTCCCCCCCACACACACAGAGGCATATCCCCCCCCACACACACACACAAAGCGAGTGAGCCAGTGAGAGAGTCAACAACTATGTAGTACAAATAGGGATCCTGTCCCTTCTGGGGACAAACTGTAAAGGCCATGTTGAGTAAGTTCTCTCATTCTGCTTTTCTGAATACAGAAAAGCGAGATTATTTGCTGGGACAGAGTTCCATTTCCTACCATGAGCTCTGAGGAACTGGAAGGGCCCCTGAGGCCAGCAACAGGCCAGAGCATCCTTAGGTCCTTTTGGTGGACATAAGTGAGTGAGGAACCGGGGGCCCCTCCCACTGGGCCCTGTGAGTCTCCTCAGGATTCAGCCCTTCTGCCTGCTCACTTGGAGTCTAAGGAGAGACTGAATCACCTGCCCTTAGGATTTCTGTGCTGTGTAATTTGGGAGAGGAGAAAACACCACAAGAGGTGTTGCTCTGAGGGGCCCTGCAGATTAGGAGACTTCCTCCCTCTCATGAATCAGCCTGGCATCAGGAAGTGCAGCTGCCTGGGCTGCCCCACCCCTCACAGCCATCGCAGGGCTCTGGTGACAGCTCCCAGCACAACTTCCAAAAAGAGCCTCTCACAAGTCCCACAAGTCTAAGGGATTCGTTGTGGAGGGATTTTAACTGAAAGGGTATATTGGTTATTTTTCTCAGTGCTGTGACAAAAATATCCCTCCTCACAAAAAAAGGCAACTTGAAAAGAGAAGGGCTTATTCTGGCTCACAATTTAAGGGTCCAGTCCATCATGGCAGGGAGGGCTTGGCTGCAGGAGCTTTAGGCCATATTGCATCTTCAGTCAGGAATCAGGGAGCAACAGATGCCGGCCCTCAGCCTGCTTTCTCCTTTTTATTCAGTCTGGGACCCCAGCCCATGGAACGGTACCGCCTGAAGTTAGGATGGGTCCTCTCCCCTTAACCTAATCTAGAGAATCCCTCACAGCTGGTCCCAGAGATTTGTTTCCATGGTGACTCCGAGTCCACCAAGTTGTCAGTCAAGATGGAGCACCTCAACTGTTTCCCTGAATGCTGGGTTTCCACAGGACTTCCTTAGAACTCCAGCGCTGTTCTTGTGGCTGAGCTTGCTGGTGCCAAGGAGCTGTCCCCAGCATCACTGGGAGGCATAGGTGGTTCCAGACTGCTTCTGCAGGCTGCAGTGGGCTCTCTGAATTTCTAAGAACCATCAGAAGCTTCGAAGCAGTTGTTTAGAAGTTAGACAGTCCCCTTTCATTCCCTAATAAAGATAAAGATATACAATTATTGCAAGTTCTAAAGTTCCTTTCTGCTCAGCCCTGAGCCCAGCTGGACCAGCACATCCCGGGCTGTTTGAAGACACTGCTCACTGCCCTCTGAGATTGAGGTCTGGTAGATAAGAAGTCCATGGTGTTAGGCTGTGTCTGAGCAGCCAGGAGTGACCAGATCAAGCTAATTAACATATTCATGGCCTCAAACACTCAAGTATTCCTCAGGTCCCAAGACCACCACTCCCTGCCTTCTGGTCACATCCCTGACTGGTAACCACCAGTATATCTCATTTCTTTGAGTTTCGGTGTTCTAGACTTCACTTCTATTTCATTGACCTTTCTTGGGGAGATATGAGCAAATGTCTGTTCACCTCAAAGAAACCAGTTGGACCAAGTCTAGCTTGGTGAGTTAGTGAGTTTATTGGCACCACGGGGGCAGAATGGGGGTGGCTCAAAGGCAGCCACTTTCACCTAAAAGTTTACCAAGGCTGCATCTCTGACCCCTGCCCAGCTTTCTGGCAGCTCCCAAGGGGAGTGTCCTTTTCCCAGCTTTCCTTCCCTTGAGTTTTCTGAGCCTCTTCCCCTGTTCCGTTGGTCGGGGGGAGCATTTCAGTTCTGAGGAAAGAACCGCATGGCTTCTATGTGATAATGTGTCTTGTTTCTCTATGTCCGACTCATTTCATGTCCTCAAGGTCCATGTATTTGTTGTTACAAATGGCAGAGTTCACTTCCGTTTCATCCCTACACAGCACTGACAGCCTATGCCGACCATATTGCTTTATCCTCTTGTCCACTGGTGGGCCGGACCCTAGGCTGGTTTGCCTCCTGGCTATTGTGAGTAGCATTTCAGTGAACAACAGACTTGTCACTGCTTTTTTTCCACATTCTGATTTCAAATCCCTGAGATGCACGCCCAGAAGTAGAAGATGGGTCCTATTTTCAGCTGAGGTCAGGTGACTTACTTTTCCTTTAGTTTTGGAACTAAGACGTTCCTTTTACCCTAGGAATGAGGCCTCTTTTGTTTCTGAAAATGTACGTCTAGCTTAAACATACATTCTGCCTCCTTATTTAATTCTGTATTTGGGGACATCAGTGTTATTTACCTTGGATCTTCTCTGCCTTTTAGAATTTTTTAAGTTCCGCATCCTTTTTCTCAAGCTCTTGCCTCCGTGTGTGGGTTCCCTGCAGACTCAACATCTGTCCTCTTTGCTGCTCAGAACAATATCTGTCATTTATTTTCTGGTCCTTACCCCTCCACATGCAACCTCAGTCAGTTGGTCCCCAGTGCCTTTCCATTCCTGCCCCTCTTTCCCCTCACAGACAACTGCGGTTTAAGATTTTGGTCAGCTACCTTCTTTGGCTATCCGTGTAGTGCTCTCGACCCAGAACCATGCTTGGGCAAACATTCTCCGTCTGCTGTTAGTTTTTCCTGTGGCTTCTCGCCTTTGATTTCCTTTGAGTAACTACGTAGACTCCCAGTGGGCTCATCTTTGAAATGAATCATGGATGTAGCAGGACATCAAACCCAGACTATCACTGGGAGGCCATCTGTGATCACAGATCCCTCAGAACAAGAGGCACTCTGTGCCTTGGAGGACCCCGTGGAGAAACATTACAGGGGTGAGTCCAGAGGACATGAGGGGCAGCGGAGCAGAGCCTGTCTGTGTTTCCTGCAGAGGGTAAGAGGAGGCAGAGCCGAGCAGGCCCAGGGCTGGGTTGTTTACAGAGTGATGTCGGGCTCTGGAAGAGGGTCTTCCCTCATCACCTGTTTCTGTAGAGGGATCAGAGCAGAGGACACGCAGGTCAGCATATGAGAGCCTGAAAAAGGAGGCAGTTCAAGGTGGACTTTGGTTGATTTGTTTACACTTTCTCTGAAGATTGCTCAGTGCTGGGATGAATATACCCCTAATAGCAGCAAGTCCCTGCTATCAAAACGCCAGAAGATAAAGACAGTAAAAAAGCTGTAGTTAACATACACACCTCACTCAGTTTCCACAGCAAAGATCTGAGAAAGAGGCCAGGGAGTGAGTGAGCAGTAACTTTGGAAAGCACCCAAACTTTCCAAGACAAAACACATCGTCATAGCCACACCCAGCTGGGACTTCTCAAGTGGATTCTTCCTTTCAGAGCCCTCCTCACTCACTGAATCCCTGACAGGGCCAAAACCTCCACAGTGAACAGGGGTCAGGGCTTCAAGGCCATGCTTACCCAATAACAGAAGGAGACATAGCAACCCTCAGCCTGCACAAGCAGATCAACAGGGCATCAACATGCATAAGGTAAACCCTAGCAAGATCAAAGACATGAAGAGAAGATGCCACTATTATGACTTGGAGTCTCCATTCCCCTCCTTCTATAGTAGGTGGATCAAATAGAAAACTGATAGGAACGAAGAGGCCAGAGCAACACTATCCTTCACCCTGGCGTCTGTGAGATGTTCCGCCTTACAGCAGAAGAACGCATTCCGTTCAGGCTCACGTGGAGTAATTACCAAGATAAAATACTTGCTTAGAGAATCTGTTAAGTTTACATTCAAAAAGCCAAGTGAATACTTTTCCTCCACATGTGCGCTGCACATACAATATGGAGGAAACGTGTTCGTACACATAAAATAATACTTTTTTTAAGACTGGACAACAGGTTACCAACATTTTGAGAATGATGTCCAGAGTAGTGCTAGAGGAGACGTCCTGAATCTAAGTCCAGGGCTATAACAGAATTCCCGAGACGAAGTACCTTATCAAGAAAAGGAGTTTAATTTGGCTAACGTTTAGGGCTTAAAAACCCACGTTCCGGCAGCTACTTCAGGTGAGTGCCTCAGTCATGCCATCCTGGCAGGTGACACTGAGTGACAGAAAAACATGGTAGGGTACTGGTGTGAGTGGGATCAAACTGGTGAACTGACCTTGCCTTACAACTATCTACTGTCAAAGGGACTAACCCAGTCCACTGAGACTTAACTTAGTCCCTTCAGATAGCCGTTAATCTTTCCCAAGGATGGTGACCCAGTGGCCTCTCAGATCAGACCCCACTTCTTACAAGTCCTGCCACACCCTGACCAAGCTTCCAACATACCTTTGAGTGGCACACCCACGCCATGATGATACAGCAGATAAAAGAAGTGTGTCAAGTCGGTTGCCTGTAATCTTAGGCAAGGGTGCTCTGTGGAATTCTAGTAAATTAATCCTAAACCACAATGGCGAAAACTTTAAAACCAGAAATAGAAAACTGTAGACAAAAATTAACAAAACCCTCTTCGAGCCCTTAAAATTATCAACAGAATTATTAAATCATGAAACATGGTTTACAGTAAAAAAAGAAAAAGTAAGAAGAAAATTTGATATACCCTAAATTTGGTACATGGCTTTAACCAGGATGTGTGGGGAAAGTGTGGGAAACCGTGTGCCCATCCTGACCGGGAACTGCCATGTTCACTGACCCTCCTCAGCTGGCAGGTGTTTGTACGGAATCCCTGCCTTCCGACTCGAGCTTCATTTTGACTATGAAATTAACAAACAGCCTGTCCTGGGGCCTCTCACTTCTGCTTTCTGTCTTGTCTTGCTTACTGACACTTTGAGGAAAAGCCACTTCCCTAGTTACAGACACCAGTCAACAGCAGGAAACCTCCACTGTTCTCTTCGGTCTGTTCTCCGTTACAGCCATCCCCATTTTCAAGCCTGCCAGCTTGGTGCGGTCCACACTCCATGCCGCCTGGAGCCTGGGAGCCCAGGCCTTCTGTGAGTCCAGGAAGGTAAGTCAGGTCTGCAGCAATCAACAGTGTGACCCCAGGATTCTGCGCCATGGACTGGCATGGGAGGGCTTGCCAGTATCAGAGTGTGTGTGTGTGTGTGTGTGTGTGTGTGTGTGTGTGTGTGTGCACGCTTCCCTGGCTGACACTATACCCTGGCTATGTTCGTTCATCCTGAGCTGTGAAGGACTTGACAATACTGTAATTCTCATGTGATAAAACTGTATTTCTCCCCTGTACACAAAACCTTCGCCACTTTCTTTGAGCTTTGGGGGTAATTTGTGTATTTAGATACAGTCATGAAATCTCAGGAGTCCATCATAATCTCCTGGAATATTTGATAGTCACGAACTTCAGAAAAACCTGGGTTTCCTTAAGAAGGTATCACGTGTCCTTTGTGTCTAACTTAGGTTACTTGGCTTCTGTAGAGGCCTTGAAGGCCTGTGTTGATTGTTTTTATGAGATGGGCAGATGGGGAAGTAAAAAAAATAGTGCCTAGACTCCAGCGGCTTCAGCCAAGCCCCCACGTCCTAAACAGAAATGGTGCCTGCTGATCACAGTGTCCCCTGTGGCCTCCGCCCTGGCCTCCTAACTGGGGTTGCCTGGGATAGAGCTTCTTGGGGCTTGAGGTGGGAACCAAAAGAATACTCTAACTTGGCTGTTCACCTGTCCTGGTCGCTTTGCCCTAAGATGGTGGCAATGAAAGCTAGGAGACATATTTACTATGAAATGCCTGATATTTGGTCAGCTGTTGGTATTTGCGTGTTTTGTGTTTTGTGTGTGAGTTATGTGGTATGTATGTATGCGAACATGTATATGCCTATATGCATGGTGTATGTGTGTGTGCGTGTGTGTGAGAGAGGTGAATGTATATATGTGCATATGGTGGATATATATATGTATATATAGTGTGAATATATATATAGTGTGTGTGGAGATATATATATATAGTGTGCACGCATGTGTGTTTGTGTGTGTGTGTGTGTGTGTGTGTGTGTGTGTGTGTACTGACACACACATGCCATGGTGCATGGATGTCAGAACACAACCCCAAGTGGACGTCAGCCTCTCTGTTGTTCAGCGTTGCATATATACTCTTCCTGACCCACGAACTTTGGGGATTTTTCCTGTCTCTACCTTCATTTTACAGTAAGGCACTGGGACTAATGATATTGTTTCCATGCAAGTGGGGAGGGACTTGGGTGGTAGGTTTCTCTGCTGTGCCAAGGGCTGTTCATTTGCTCTACCTGCCTGTCCAGGGGGAATATGGTCTACCTGCTTTCCACTCTGGCAATGTCAAGTTAAGGAGGAAAATGCTGGCTTCTAGCAGAAGTTTACACGTTTGTACCAATTTCCCATTCTTTGGCCACCTTGCTGAGTCTTCTCTAGTCAAAAGGGTGTGTGGATCTGGCGCCCTGAGAACTCAGAAGCTCCACCTGAGAGCGCTCTCTTCCTTGTTCCAGGAGTGTCTGTCATCTGCAGGTCATGTCAGCCAGTTGTCATGAGATGCAAAAAGTACACTCAAGAACCAGGGTATATGCAATCCTGGCTATGGCACCTTTTATTCCAGAACTTTCTTCTCCCTTCATGTTGTCAGAGAAACAAGCGTGTGCATGTTCTCTCTGGCACAGCACTTGCTGATGAGCTTGTGGTATCCATCCAACAGGTTGATCTGACGGGTCTACGATTTAGAATTGAAAATTAAGTGCACCAGAGGCTGGGGGGATGGCTTAGTTGGTAAGGCACTTGTCGAGCAAGAACAGAGACCTGAATTCAGTCCCCAGCTCTCAGATTTTAAAATGCTGAACGGCTGGCACTGGGTAATTAGGGTGCCGAGGAAGTGTGGAGAAAGGCAGAACCCTAGGGCTCAAAACTCCAGGGGGACGACCCCTGGGGGGCAACCCTGAGATCACTCTCCGGCTTCTACACATATGCACACCCCCCCATGCACACGAGTGTGCACAGATAGTAAGTTCACTTAGGTGGGCTGGCTGCTTGTTTGTAAGCAAACAGTTAATAGTGAAACGTGCTAACGGCGTCAAGGTGGGCACGCAGACCAGTTTAGGGAACTTGTCTGTGGACTCTGGGAGTGATCATGGGCCTGCTGAGATGTCAGCCTTTGTCAGGTGTGTTTCTGGGGTTCTCTGCTATGAAGCTGCCTCACACCGTCCTGGTTTTTCATTTTATTTTATTGTCTCTCTATTCCTGAACGGGGATGGACATTCTGCCGACCAGCCTTGGCTATGCCTCCTCTCTTTGAAGTGCAGGCCTCTGTATTATGAGAAGATTCCTATGCTTTCTGCCAGTACAGAACAGGGGCGGGGGTGTACCTCAGAGAAGTGTGGTTTCTCCTTGAGAGGCTAGGTGTCTGTGCATGGTGACATCCAGGCAGGGTACAGGAAGGCTGGGGGGACAGACCCCCCCACAGGGTAGCATCCCAGAGAATGAAGCCAAAGCAGCTGTCCTGAGCAGTTCAGGCCCAGTATCCCCTGGGGTCCATTCTCCCGTGCTCAGGCCCCAGCCTGTACCCATGTGTTTTCCGCATGGTGAGATCCCACAGAGAAGCCACGTGAATGCTCACAGCTCCTCCGGGAAGAGGAGCTGTGGGAAGTTAGGGGCAGAGCCCAGTGCTGTGGGTTGGGCCTGTGGCACCTCCTTTTCCTTCGTTATTTCTCGCTCACTAACCAGCCTGACTACCCTAGCGAGACTGACTCTCCCTCTAGGCTGGGTTCATTCCTCTTTTTTATGAAAATTACCCTAACCCCTGGAGGAAGTTTTTCTTTTTAATGAAGTTCTGGCACTTAACTTACTCAACTTAAAGCTGCAAGGAAATTTCCCAGATACACTCAGTGGGACTGTTTTGCCTCAGGGTGGCCATGTGGTTTCAAGTGTCGTAAGCCTGTATTTGCATCTTCCTGATTTTGTTTCTCTGTGTAGCCCAGAGTGGGCAGAAGTTACCCTTGGGTGCTGTTTTTCCTCCAGCCACAGTCCACATTACACCAGGGGCTCTTGTGGCCCACTGATGGGGACACAGCACACTTATAAAAAGACAACGCCAATAGCAGCAGGCATGGTGGCTCACACTTCTCTGGGGAGATAGGAACAGGTGGATCTGTATGGCTGACTAGCCAGTCTAGCCTGTCTGGAAAGTTCTAAGCCAGTAAGAGCGCCTGTCCCAGAGGAGGAGGTGGATGGAGTCTGAGGAACAACAGCTAAGGTTGACCTTTAGTGAGTCCACACACACACTTACACACTTACATGCATGCACGCACACACACACACACTTACACACTTTAATGCATGCACGCACACATGCACACAGGCACTTTATTCACTAAAACGTATTTGCAAACCCAGTCATTCATGGTACCTTTGCCGTTATTTGTGGACATGCACTGAGTGATTTCATTCTTTTTCTGTGATTAAAAAACAAAGACAAAACAACAACAACAACAACAACAACAGAAAAAAACCACTCTGGCTAAAAACAGCTGGCGGGAGGAAAGGGTTTGTTTGGTTTACACTTCCAGGTCACAGTCTGTCTTGAGAGGTCAGGGTGGGTACTTAAGCAGGAACTTGAAACAGAAACTGTGTGAGAATGCTGTTGTTGGCTCACACTCAGATTCAGGCGTAGCTTGCCTTCTTGTCCAGCCTGGGACTGTTTGCTTAGGGATCGTGCTGCCTGTGGTGGGTGGGTCTTCCCACATAACTCATCAATGAAGACAGTCTCTCGCAGACATGGACCCAGGCCACCCCTCAACTGTGGCTCCTCCTCACAGACGACTCCAGGCTGTCAAGGTGACAATCGCAGGGCAGTGGCCCTCTTCTTGTCTCACAGCGTAAACAGCCCCCATTTTCTTCATCTCTTTGGAGCCACCTTTTAATAGTGGTTTTTGTCGGGCCATCCCTATTGAAAATGGTTGAAAACATTTGCGCTGCCTAGTGTCTCTGGGCACAATAAGGCTGTGGTGTGGTTCATTAAGTAAATCTCCATGTTCGGTGAGCTTCTCACATGCATGGGAAGGCTGCCTAGGGTTCAGTGTCGGGGCGTTGACAACGCATAAAAACTGTTTCTTTGAGTGGACTGGGCTGCTACCGGCTGTGCATTGTCTGGCTGATAGAAACATAGCCAGGGAATCGCCAGGATTTAACCTTCAAAGTTCCCTGAGAAACTGTTTGAAAATTTGTGAGCGCCATGCTCAGGGCACCTCTGTGGAAAAAAATCTACTGCGCTTCACAGGAAGTAACTGTATTTAGTTCTGTGCATAAGGGGAAGAGAGTAGGGACAAGGGCGGGAGTACGGATGGGATAGAGAGAGGAGAAAAGAGAGAGACGCGACACTGTGAGGCGTATGAGCCATGACGCCTGTGATAGTAAACTAACCAGAATGCTGGAGTTGTCTCTGATCCCAAACACAGTAGACAGCAAGTCTTTGGCTCAGACGGCGCTGCCCTCACAGAACCCAGGCAGAGTGCCCTGGCCTCCAATCTGTGTGCACAGATAGAGAAGAGGTGAGGGAAGATGGGACGGGCTCATAGCATCCTGGAACACACCTCAGGCATCACGTCACACATTGTCAGCATTTCTTGATATGGGAAGTCCTTCTGTATATGTGTTGCTTTTATTGGTTAATGAATGAAGCTGT